AATGTTATTTCCAGTTTACACCGTCTAATTTTTAAAGCTTTTTGAAGCTCTTGTCTGAGTGCACTTACGACAGAAGCTGAAGCTTACAACAGGTTTATTTACGGTGGAATAAGCACCCTTAAAATACCCTCCCAGATTTCCTTTAAGTCAGCTCTGTTGATTCAAACCTCAAGGCGAAATGCGGCAGACTGACAATGTCAGAAAAACACTCTTAAAATATGTACTCAAGTTATACATGAAGCTCCATATGATACACTGTCTTTATATCTTATTCCTGCAAGAAGGTAGTAAGAGGAATCACATCAGTGTGAGATCGTTCTGGTCGCCGCTGGACAGGGTACTTCACCCTCAAACCCAGTCCAACAGTGACAAGAGCATCTCGCAGACATACCAATCTCACGAGAAAAGCAAAAAACACGAGTACAATGACAGAGTGCTTAATGTGGAAAAAGCCACCTTCAAATTCAGTCTTCACGCCATGTTCAGAACTACAGGAGGAATTGCATTTGAGGCTTCACAATTCCCGAAACATCTCGCTAAAAAGATCAGCCTTAAGGAAGGCCAAAGATCCTGTGATGTGACGTCTTTTGTCAGACGCAGACTGCGCTTCGATTTACTCAGAACTTGTATAATTTCCATTAGGGGTTAATGAGGTGCAAGAACTCTTCCATCTACAGCAATAAGTGATTTGGACCTTAATCTGATCAACACTCCTAGATCATAAAAGGAGTGTTTGATGGTTGAGGGCCTGAACTGCATGTTGTAAATCAAATCAAATCAATTTTTAGTTGACGGTTTTATAAATACAAAGGGTTTTATTTTCTACCCTGGTTTTAAAAAATTTATACCGTTTTTATGTATTAATTTATAGATGTGGATACTGGCGGGGAGGTGATAATTGTTTGTTTACATTAATAGTGAGCACATGTTAAGCAGGCTGAGGAGGTGATAATTGTTTGTTTACATTTTAGGTCGAGCACATGTTAAGCAAGCTGAGGAGGTGATACATATTTTGTATTATAGAAGGTTTGTAACACTTGTAACGCCTTCTTGTTACCCCCCTTTGAGGACCCCGAATTATTTTCTGAACGAAAGCTCAAAAATAACCGAGAAATCGACCTTCTTATTAACTCATTTTGATGACTGTTTCTGACCTAAAATTGCACGAAAAATCGATTTAGCTAGGTTTCAGAACCTATAAACACTTCCTTATCCCTCAAAATTGATGTTTTATAGTTAATACGACCAACAAGCAACATATATTTTGATCCTTCGGTTCTACTCATGACCTAGATAGTTAAGCTGAACCCGACAGATTGAGGCAATCCTCACCTTAACTGATCAAACTGGTACTAACACAATTTTCAGATATAAATGTTCTTTGCGATACGTTTATTGCAGCTTTGCAACTTGAGTGAAGACCAGAGTACGAAAACACACAGCAGGTAAGCAACTCACTTTTGGTGACTGTTCCTCACGAACATTCTGATCCTGTAACATATGAACAGGGAGATCGTCTCCTTAACAAATCGAACAGGTACTATCACAATTTCCAGAGCACAGCATGATAACAAAGTCAAAAGAAACACAATGAAGGTAGGTTACCAACACCACATTATAACAATCATACTGACAACTGAATTAAATGTATTCTGACGACGGGCAGCCCTGATGTGCTCCGTGGTCCTCAACGAGCGACCACTTGTAATAGAGGTGTTATGTCATGTGACACCGATCCGTCCAATCACAAACAGGAAAAGTGAGCAGATCGATATCGTGTGTTTACTTTCCTTATCTTTATTTGACCCTCTGTTCACATTGTTATCTCTACCACATCTTGACTCGGCAAGGTCCGCGTGCAATATCTGCACCGCGGTAAACACGCCATGATTACGTCATGAACTTGAAATAGTGTGATTGTTGTACACTTATATAATATATAACCGTGCCCATCGCCCACGTACATTACAAACTGTTGGGGGGGGGGGTGGGGGCGGGGGATGGGGTTTAAGATAAACAACCGATCTTGATAGTGTGTTGGTCGCTCCTCCAACTGACTGTGATGCTTATCGTCCAGTCAGGAACAGAATAATAACATAATTTTTTAGTTATAGTATGTCTCGGCTGAACTGCGGAGATAAGTACAGTTTGCTGTAATATGTACAGTTTGCTGTAATATGTGGTCGCGATTATCAACTCAGTGGAATTTCAAATGATGAACTGTGCTTTAAGTTTACACCAACTGGAACCAAAGGAATATACCCATGAGTGCTCCCTAACTTAACTTGGACGGTAAGTGTTTGACAATAAAAACTAGGACACGAATTCTCTGACAAGAAAACCCGGGCCCGCTTCTGTGCCTGGATAATGAAGCGCAGGAGTTGAAAGATGCTTCACACTTTCCTGAAAAATATATCTGTTGCTGTTTTTACAAAGGAACACCACACGACATGGACATCCATCAAGAGATAACATTCAACTGTTGGGAAGGTTCCAAAAGTTTATGAAGTGCATTTTGCACTGTTGCCAGCATAGATGTGCGGCAATAAGATTTGCACGAAAAAAATGGTGATTATGTATTTACCCACCGCAACTGAATAGGTTTTTCAACCCGTGCTTAGAAGCCAAGTGACTTTTGTAACGATTGTTATCAAGGAACTGGACGGGGATCTCGCACTTTGTGCACCAAAACGGCATATTTAGATTCTAAGACTTTGAGGAAATTAAATTCACGTCGATACATACACAGTTAATTTTTAAGCACGGACATAGTAATCATGGTAGCATGGATACAAACAGACAAACAAAGGAGGAGGAGGAGGAGGACTGAGGGAGAGGGGGAGGAGGACTGAGGAGGACTGCGGAGGAGGAGGACTGAGGAGGAGGAGGACTGAGGTGGAGAAAAAAAGGAGGGGGGGAGAGGAGGAGGAGGACTGAACAGGAAAAAACGACACGAATGTGTACGGTACCAGCTAAAATATCTACCAGTTACATTCAGTACAAGTATATTTCGAATAGCAATTTTAATAGCGTACAGCAAAGTTCTAACCCATGATCCGAAATAAAATGCAGCTGGTAAACGAACTAAAGAGGGGTTCACTGAACCATTTCAACAGCGCACCTATTACCCGTTATCGATTTTATCAATACTTGAACTTCCGTGTTATCTCATCTAAAATAAACACCCCGCACACAAAATGAATTCCGTTGACTTGAGGGCAAGTGCAGCATTTTAAAGTTACACAAACTCTTATTACAATTGTGAGAAGGACTCCAAGTTTACATATTTAAAACGGCAATGACTAATTACAAAGCACAAATTGGAATTTTTAGTGTCTAACCTGGCAAAAATGAACTGCACCATGTTGAACTAGTACTTCAACTCTGTCAGGTATAACCATGCTTGTCCTCCTGTATACTGCCTCCTCCTGGAACATACAGTTCTTTTCAGTGAAGCACAGTTCATCATTTGGAATCTCACTCAGTTCATAATCGCGACCTCATATTAGAGTAAATGTTTTTAATAATACTAATCTCCGCAATTGAACAATGAAACCGAAACATGCTATAACTAAAGAATGTTAATGTTCCGTTCATGACTGGACGGTTAGCATCACAGTCAGTTGGAGGAGCGACCAACACACTATCAAGATCGGTTGTTTATCTTAAACCCCATCCCCCGCCCCCACCCCCCCCCCCCCCCAACAGTTTGTAATGTACGTGGGCGATGGGCACGGTTATATAAGTGTACAACAATCACACTATTTCAAGTTCATGACGTAATCATGGCGTGTTTACCGCGGTGCAGATATTGCACGCGGACCTTGCCGAGTCAAGATGTGGTAGAGATAACAATGTGAACAGAGGGTCAAATAAAGATAAGGAAAGTAAACACACGATATCGATCTGCTCACTTTTCCTGTTTGTGATTGGACGGATCGGTGTCACATGACATAACACCTCTATTACAAGTGGTCGCTCGTTGAGGACCACGGAGCACATCAGGGCTGCCCGTCGTCAGAATACATTTAATTCAGTTGTCAGTATGATTGTTATAATGTGGTGTTGGTAACCTACCTTCATTGTGTTTCTTTTGACTTTGTTATCATGCTGTGCTCTGGAAATTGTGATAGTACCTGTTCGATTTGTTAAGGAGACGATCTCCCTGTTCATATGTTACAGGATCAGAATGTTCGTGAGGAACAGTCACCAAAAGTGAGTTGCTTACCTGCTGTGTGTTTTCGTACTCTGGTCTTCACTCAAGTTGCAAAGCTGCAATAAACGTATCGCAAAGAACATTTATATCTGAAAATTGTGTTAGTACCAGTTTGATCAGTTAAGGTGAGGATTGCCTCAATCTGTCGGGTTCAGCTTAACTGTCTAGGTCATGAGTAGAACCGAAGGATCAAAATATATGTTGCTTGTTGGTCGTATTAACTATAAAACATCAATTTTGAGGGATAAGGAAGTGTTTATAGGTTCTGAAACCTAGCTAAATCGATTTTTCGTGCAATTTTAGGTCAGAAACAGTCATCAAAATGAGTTAATAAGAAGGTCGATTTCTCGGTTATTTTTGAGCTTTCGTTCAGAAAATAATTCGGGGTCCTCAAAGGGGGATAACAAGAAGGCGTTACAAGTGTTACAAACCTTCTATAATACAAAATATGTATCACCTCCTCTGCCTGCTTAACATGTGCTCGACCTAAAATGTAAACAAACAATTATCACCTCCTCAGCCTGCTTAACATGTGCTCACTATTAATGTAAACAAACAATTATCACCTCCCCGCCAGTATCCACATCTATTGACAGAAGTTTACTTTTAGGTGTCTAACCTTATAGTTACCATTGCTGAATTTATATGTGTATATTGTCCGAATAGTTTTCTATTTCTTTTTGTGAGATTGATATGCACATTTTAGTTATTTTTTACATTTCATTGTGGGGCTCCCCTTTTTAATTTGATGTATGTACTGATAGTAACAACATCTTTTGGCTCTAGATAATGGCATCACGCTAAAATAAGTAAAGAACCAGTTTCGCACAGGATGCATACTGTAGCACTAAACAAGTTTTGTTCCTTTTACCTAGGTCTGAGACAAAGATGATTGGTTATTCAATGATTCAGCACTGTCAACTCTTCACTCTCTGACGAAACAGCTTTATCCACCTCAACGTTAAGGGTACTCCTTTAAAAAATCATACAATTTTAGGCATGGAGGAAGAATGGGAGACAGAATTTGCCAACCTGTGCCTCAGCTTGTCCATGGACGAAGCAACGAAACAAGATGCTATCGATAAGTGAGTAATAATTTTTACTATAACTTGACTGTCTTTTTTTAAATGGGAAAAGTCCAAGAGTTTGTGTTTAGGTTAGCTTCATAAATGTTAACTACCCTAGATATCGATCTGCTCAAGATTTTAACCTGGATGGCAAGCCAATTTACTGGCTAGCGTGTGCTCTCTACGATTCCTGCTTCTCCCGACAACTGGTGACCATCAGTGGTGAATCACAGAGAGGAAACTACATTTCCTTCACTCAACTTCTCAAGGTTATCTTCACTACATGCTTTTAATTCTTCCTGTAACTTCCAATCAGAATGTAAAGGTTCACATTGATGAGCCATCTATCTATATTTTATATATTTCGTTGCTTTAAAACTCCATATGCATAGCATGATTCCACGGTTAAAATGATCTTTTTCAGACAATTGGGCTCTCGTTTGAGGATTTTGTACATAAATATTTGGACGTTTGGCAGATAACAGCTAACAGAACTGACGACTTTCGCACTCATGTTGAGAGTCTCAGGAGAAGGTTACTTTCCATCTCAAATTATAACTTGCTTCAGTCATGCACTTGCTAATTAAATCAATTACATAGTTATTTTGTAGCAATGGATCTCGTACAATGTTTCAAGATCGCATGTAGTATGCATGACGTGTGTAGTATGTACTATCTCTATGTGCACTGTACTGATCCTTAGTGTGCGAGTGTGACGGCCCATTTAGATATTATTGGCTATACATCCTAGCAAGTATTGTAGAATTCGTTACAACTGGTTTGGTAATTGTTGTATTTCCTTCAGGTGGATAGTAACGTCACAGATATACAACAAATACAAGCAGATATTTGAAGCTATTGGGAAATCCCTTCCAGACTCCAACTTCCGTATCAAACGGAAAGCTCGCAGAGAAGTGACCAGCACTGAACTTTACAAGTTTATCTGGACGTTTTACTGCAACGTGAAGGCAGCATTTCCCAACTCAATAGATGAGGTTGTGTCCTCGAGTTTGCTCCTCTGCGCTGTAACTGATTACTGTTTCCACGAAGTTTACCTGTCCGAACCCACCCTTCTCACTGAAGATGGCAGAAATGCTTTCAAGTACGTTCTTCACATCTTACGTCATGACAAAGCAATTTTTATTTTCACATTTGAATTCAATTTAACTTTAAATTGGTCCTTATTATAAAAATGTACATAAATTAACGATTTGTTTTCTCAGGCAGTCAGAGAACCACTCTATCATCGATCGTATGTGTAACGACTTTGTTAAAATGGAATCAACTGAAGCTAAGAGAATCAGAGACTACCACTTGAAACCACTGCTGAAACAATATTTCATCAAGGGAGTTCTAAAAGCGGGTCTTGAGAACGACAGAGGAATATTCGAAGCCTCCGTTTTCGACTCAAACCACAAATCTATCAACAACGAGTACGACGCGTACTTCCTGAAGCAGGGAGAGTACGACAACAGATTGTTCCTGGAAACTGTCATCCCTCCAACTAGATCTATCGGAGACAGGACTCCTTCTAAACTTGCTGTAGTGCATCGTACACCCAGCGAGCTGAGTCACAAGGTTAAGAGAAACCTGCTGAAGCAGCTCGAACAGAGTATGATACCTCAGACTCCACTTTCTAACAGGAACTATCTTCCCTCCAAGACTGAGGAGGATTTCATCAAGAGAACTCCCATATCGGAACAGGCTGATATCTTAAACAGATTGAACCTTCTTATTTTAAATTACAGGTGAGTTTATTTTAAAGCGTGATATTGCTATCAAATGTTCGTTTTATGTTTTCTGTTTCGCAGAGATAGTAATGGTTTCAGGTCTAGACAAGTCTAGTTCACATATTTGCTTACTTTATGCGATTTTCTCTCCCTTCTTGTCCTTAAACAAACCCCATTTTCCAGAACCGAACCCAGTCCAGAGCTCGAGAAGATCTTGAGAAAATTCGACCCGAAGATCCGAGAGGACATCATGAAGATCCAAAAGATGCTGTCAGACAAATTTATAGAAGCTTACTCCAACGGCGAGCAAAATGCTCTGGTGTTTGCGGAGGAGAAGCTTGAACATGGTGTAAAACTTTTCTACAGAATGTTTGAACTGATCGTTATCAGTGAAGCTGATCGACGCTGTTCTGACATTGCTCTTAAGAACATTGTCTCCAACGTCGACTTCATATCTGCGACTTTTGTAATCTCTCTTGAGATTGTCCTGAACTCTTACGGCTCTAGTGATCGCAAATTCCCTTGGATACTGAATGCTCTTGGTTTACATTCCTTCATGGTGGGCAAAGTGATTGAGACAATCATCATGCATGACACAGGTTGGTTACACTTACAATTTTACATGATTTAAATTATATTATTACATTGATTGACTGATTCAAATTATGGGACGTAAGATTAGACTAGATTCTTAGTTAAGCGGTTCTTTTATACGACAACCATCCTCATTTTCAGGTTTATCTCGGACGATAATAAAGCACTTGAACACGATTGAGGAGACAATGTTAGAAACCATGGTTTGGGCTAAAGACTCACCCCTCTACGATCAGTTAGCAGAATGCAATCCTCCCCGGCCACCCAGATACGAAGACGTTAAACCCTCCAAGGGAATGGGTAACCAGACCCCAACACTCAGGATTCCCTCCGGTGAAGGATACAGATTCGCAACAATGAACAGTTCCTCAAATCTGATAGATAGGAAGCGGGGCTTGACCCCTCTCTGCAGCACTGGCAGTCCCTTCCAGCACATGGACAAGAGACACACAGCTGCACAACCTAATCTCAAGATAGCTATGCCTACGTTCGCTCCACCTGTAGATACTTCCTCCAGCACAACCAGAGAGGGTGCTCAGACCCCCGTCTCTGCTCTTGCTACAAACATGGACACCATGGGTGTAATGAGTCCCCCTCCTCGACCCCTCTTCCGCAAGTCCTTGCAGATGTTCTTCAGGAAGACCTATAACTTGGTCTCACTTCGGATCAGGAACTTGGTTGAGAAGTTAGACCTCGCCCCCGAAGTCTTGCAGAAGATCTGGACGGTATTCGAACATGCCATGACAAATCATGTGCACCTCTTCCACGACCGCCATATCGATCAGATTATGATATCTTCCACTTATCTGATAGTGAAAGCGGAGGATCTAAAGATAACCTTCCGCCAGATAATCGAATGTTACAGACAGCAGCCCCAGGTTCAGAACAAACAATACGTCTACAGAAATGTGCCCCTGGAGACCAGACCACTTCCCCAGACTCTAATGTGTTCCTGTAAGAGCAAAGTCAGCGAGGAAGCGACAGAACGAGGCGACATTATCAAGTTTTACAACACCGTCTTCATCAATCACATATCTAACTTTATCAAACCAGCAGAGGGGCAGGGAGGTAAGCTAAACCTCTCCGCGCCCGGATCCCCCATGCCTCACATCTACACCCTGACGCCGGGTAACGTGTTCTCACCTAGACGTATAGACTCACACAATCTCACAGTCTCGCCTAAGAAGACATCTTCTATCAAACCTTATGTGTTTGGGGAGAGTCCTACCAAAGATCTAGATGCTATGAATGAACGAGTTCACAACATCAACACCAGAGGCCAGCAGAAGAGGATGCTCTTCAAGAACGACGAGGAGCAGAAGAAATCAGAGAAAGTCAAAAAGTCAGCAGCATTCCTGCAGTACGATAATTAAACTTTGCTCAATTGATTTCGACCAGAACTGCTTTTCCGACGGACCAACTTTTAGATTTGGAAGGATGACTCAAAAATTTTCAGTGGGATGAAAATAATGCTATAAAATGATAAAAAGTTATAACAACCTCTAGCATGATAAGATCATTTTAATGATACACATTTATTCAGTGTTCAAGCTTTTTAAAAGTTTAAAACCGTGATCAGGTATAACTCAGAAATTTAAAATTCAAGTTAACAAAAAATTAGTATATGATTGATTCAGAATAAGGGGTATAACGCCGTTATACTAACTACTACGCTCAAAGTTAACAATGTTGTTAATCCGTAATATATTATCTGTTGTTTTGGGGATGTGTTTTCGTTATTTTTATTATTTTGACTGAAGGTTTCATTGGCGGATAGTTTGTTTTGAGTATGAAAATTATGAATTCTGATCATTATAGATGAGTATTGACATAATATTATATGTATGAAATTTTGTTACGCTTAATGTAAATTTAAAGACCTAAGTATATTTGCATTATAATATGTTCATAATTTCATTATCTAATCCAGCTTGAAAATTGGTTTAAAAGCTATATTTGCTGTGAAATTACGTGCTGAATTTTTATTCCTTGTGTAAGGCTGAAGTTTCTTTTCTTTAAATTGATTTTTCAGTTTATTATTTTTAACCAAAAGCCCTAACATCCAAAAATGATAATTACTAAATTTTGCAAAATTTAGATCAACAGGTCTTGCTTAAAGTTACAATTTTGATTAAAAATCACATAATATATGATAAGTTAAGGGTAATGTTACCCATTTCCGTTGTTAACTTGAAGCATTTTCAGAGTTTAAATTCATTATTGTACCACTTATGAACAATGTTTTGTGTTTGTATTACATATTAAGATCTACTCGATATATCCATGATAAATCCATGTTTGTGTTACTTGAGTTACTATTCTCTCATTTAAAGCCATAATTACCACGATTAATCCCTCAAAATTATTATAATTATCTAAACACAGAAAAATTATCCCTACTAAAAGTCCTGATGAAACCGTGAAATTTGCAAACTAACAAATAACAATGACCTTTCATTTCGCTGAATATACGTTCAAATTACAGTTTACACCCAGAATCAGAATACTTACATATCTCACCACAGCTCAGTAGCTGATTCTCAAGAAGAACGGTTCTGTAGTAAAAATCCAATCTTCACGATTAGTAAACCACACATCACCCTAACTTCCACCCCCTCCAGCTAGGTAACATGGCAGAGTTTCTAGCCTCCATATTCGGAACAGAAAAGGACCGTGTGAATTGTCCGTTTTACTTCAAAACGGGAGCATGTACTCACGGTGAGCGGTGCTCGAGACAGCACAACAGACCTACTTATAGTCAGACAGTGTTACTCAACCACATGTACAGATCTCCTGTCAACCTTAGTCTTACCCCGGAAATGCAGGTTAGATACTATCTCTTATCTTACCCCCGAAATGCAGGTTAGATACTATCTCTTATCGTATCTTACCCCGGAAATGCAAGTTAGATACTATCTCTTATCTTACCCCCGGAAATGCAAGTTAGATACTATCTCTTATCTTACCCCGGAAATGCAGGTTAGATACTATCTCTTATCTTACCCCCGAAATGCAGGTTAGATACTATCCCTTATCTTACCCCCGAAATGCAGGTTAGATACTATCTCTTATCTTACCCCGGAAATGCAGGTTAGATACTATCTCTTATCTTACCCCGGAAATGCAGGTTAGATACTATCTCTTATCTTACCCCCCGAAATGCAGGTTAGATACTATCCCTTATCTTACCCCCGAAATGCAGGTTAGATACTATCTCTTATCTCACCCCCGAAATGCAGGTTAGATACTATCTCTTATCTTACCCCCGAAATGCAGGTTAGATACTATCTCTTATCTTACCCCCGAAATGCAGGTTAGATACTATCTCTTATCTTATCCCCGAAATGCAGGTTAGATACTATCTCTTATCTTACCCCGGAAATGCAGGTTAGATACTATCTCTTATCTTACCCCCGAAATGCAGGTTAGATACTATCTCTTATCAAGATTCTAGATATTATCCTGGACTGATCAGTGCAAGTGATCTGCTGTTATTCGTTGTAGCAAAGCTAGAAGAACGATCCGGCTTTACTTGAAAGTGGTCGTGTTAATTGCCGTAATTTTACTGGATCAATATATCATTCTTTACATTTTGAGACTGGCTTATTGATCCTGTGCTTATTTTGTTTTGTAAGCAGTAGTCAATAGTGCATGCCTAATTTAAACAGACGCTTTTTGGGAAGTGTCAAACGAACTTCCTAAGAATGTTCTCGAAACGTGCCGGGGAATGTTGTTGAAATCTACTCTCATCAACTACAGCTAGTTTAAGCATAAATTCTCCAGAACATTGTCTGCAATACAGGGTTAGTTACTCTAGTTGACATATTTCCAAGTTTGCTAAACACTGCACAACGTGCGAGCTACAGAATTGGCTCTGGTTGAACTCCAAAGTTGTTGACATTGAACATTCTTGGACTGGAGCCAGCGACATAACACGCATAATTATCCTTTCAGTGAGGTTATTACTGCAAGGAAACATGAGCAACATATACCCGGTTATTTAGGTAGTATGTTAGAAGTGCGGTACACTTCTTTCAACGGGACGATTCACTAATTTGGAGTCAATTATGTAATTACTTTCTTACCAGTACGGTCATCTTGTAATTAGGATAATTGAATTACACTGAATTTAAATGGCAGTACCAACCGCGAATATTCCCGTTGCAGGAATTCTCGTGGACTGCATTGCAAGAATTCCCGTAGATATTATAATTGGATCAGCGTGTATTAACAAACAAAGTTTTAAGATTTCATTACATTGCAAACAGTACTGTCAGACGGCATTCCTCCCGAGGAGTGAGTAGCAAAGTTAATTTTGGCAACATTCCAGCTAACATACTTATCACACATTTCTAAAGATTTACTACCTTCAGCGCCTAGGAGGGCTCACGGAGGAAACCTTGCAAACACATTTTGACGAGTTTTTTGAAGATATGTACGTGGAGCTGGTGGACAAATACGGGCCCATTGAAGAGCTGAACATTTGCGAGAATCTGGGAGATCATCTTGTCGGTATGTAACACTCAGGTTTGAGATAAGGGAATTGTGGAATGGATGAAATGTCTGAGTAGTAAAGTGGAAGTGAAGGTGTTTAACGTTTTCAGCAATGCTCTTGTCAATATTTAACGTGTCCGCTTTTTCAGCTGATTTCAGTGACCCCTCCCGCGACAGGTAACATATATGTCATGTTTAAGCGTGAAGAAGACGCTCAGAAAGCAGTAGACGGTCTGAACAATCGGTGGTACAACGGACAGCCAATCTACGCGGAGTTATCGCCCGTTACAGACTTCCGGGAAGCGTGCTGCCGGCAGCACGAGACGAGTGAGTGCACGCGCGGCGGATACTGTAACTTCCTGCACGTGAAGGCAGCGTCGCGCGAGATGCGACACAGTCTGGGAGTTGATACGTACGGCAAGGGACGACATGTAGCCGGAGGAAAGAGAAGAGACCGGTCTCCTAGAAGAGACAGAAACAGACGGAATTAGCAGTTTTAAGACACAGGAACTTTGGAGACATTATGTTTGCTGGGTGTTTATCACCCGTATTTCGGGGCTTGATTTAGCAATTTTACTTTATTCTTATATTCCATACACTATCGCAAAATATTGCCTTCTTTATGTGATATACCAGGTATATTCCCACATGTAATCAGCAGTTCATTTGTTTGTGTATGTTTTATTCTATGTGCAAAAATTTTTGGATTTTACGGGAAGTCAGCCAAATTTAACTTTAAGCAGTTGTGATAGTGTGATATACATATAGTTGCTCCTAATTCGATTTTTAAATGCTTCCATTGGTATGTCAAATATTTTCATTTTTTGAATGTACAATTATGGAGTTAATTGCTACTATTATAACGTTTTATCCTTTACCGAAATTCAAAATACGGCAGTCTTACTATAAAGTTTAGATCCCAAAGGAAGTGACACTAGATTGCAAATTATTTGATACTTGAATCAGAAAATGAGTTAAAAGTGATGCTTGTATCAGTTGTGATATCATGTCCTCAACTGATCATAGCATTCCAGGTACCAAGTCCAAATGTCATCAGCTTCAGATGCAGATGAAATCAAGTTTAGTCAGGAGAGTTTGTCTCTTCTCTTCACTGGTGGAGCGACGGGGGTTTCTTTAGAACACCACATCCCGTAAGTTAAACTGGTTCATGAATGGGTTTATATGAAACTTTCTATGGAGCATTATGGTCCGTCCTCGGTATTCGAATTTCCTAGTTTGGCGCCATTTGAAAAGTCTGGACGGAACGCGCAAAATTTTATTTGTTGTATAAAACTCGTACCTAGTCAGTCATTTCTCTGGTTTTGGCGCGCATTTCTTGCGCGGCTCTTGTTTATTTTGATCCAAAACCACCGCCCTTTTTGAGCAATTTAACAAAATTACTTTGTAGTACGCCCAATCACTTCTAATTACTGTTTCCATAAGTATCCAATAGCGCATAGACATACAAATTACAATAGCCTGTCACTCTTTGCAATCATTCGATCATCGGCAGTCAGTAATATGATACCTTCCTGGCCACATTCCAATCTAATTCTTTTGGAGGCAAGTTCAAACTTGCCCGGCGGTACGTGAAGTCATGGCTTTCTCTCACTTCTTATTATTGCAGAACGACCTCGTTGTACAGCCCAGATCCGAATTTTGGTACGTACAATATCTTCAGTTTATTTATAGACTTCGTTTGGCAGTTATGATAGTAAAGTTTAGTAGTAATATAAAATGTTACTTTCTTGCACTGAGCACTGTGGATGACCCGAAATTATCCATCGCAGATACCAGTTTGCCACGAACTACGTCCATGTCCTCATTTACCTCCACCCAGTATCCCAGAGCTGTAAGTTGTCTCTCGCTTTATTACAGTATTAGTGTTCTGTGTTAGTATTAAGATTGACAAAGCCGTAATACATTTTTCTTAAGGTCACAAATTTGCGGTGTGCTCGTTAATGTATACTTGTTTCAGAGGACAATAGTTTATCTCATTTCAGGGTCCGAGTCAACCAACAGTGATCCCCATTCACGTCACTCAGGATCAAGAAATTCGAACGTGAGAAATTAAATTGTAGTGAAACTTGACTGGTCCAGGCATTCAATGTGCCTCATTTCCTATCTAATATCTGTCTGTTCCACGTATCCACAATCTCACAAAGTATTAAATATTCCTTGTTGACATTCTTCCTTCCTATAGAGACAACATGCAGGGCAGCTACGGGTTTGATCTCAAATTCGAGGAGAGAAAGGAGTTTCCTAAGAACCATCCATGTTGCTACTCCAGGGTTAAGGATGCTATAATCGTGAAGGACCACACCGCAATACCTTTCACATTCCTGAGTAATTATAGTATGCGGGACTTTAGGATCAGAATCACCGCTGTGTTTACGAGTAAAGACAACTTTAACATCCCTGTTCTGCCTTGTAATAACCATTCTGGATCCAGTCAAGGTGAGAGGGTTGATATTTGATACCCGAATTGCTATACATATGTTATCTATTCAGTTGTACAAAATGATTTTTAACGAAGGTGATATATCCGGGCACCTGGAACTGCAGACAGTTTTTAGTCTTATATTTTCACATGCGAACTAACATATCCTCAACCTCTAGGACCGCCGAGGGAGTTTGTTTCGTGCAACAACGCAAATGCAGTGGACTATAAAGATGATGAAAGACACCACATCTTACTTCCACTCATACACTGTCGAGGTGATTTCTTATTTTATATACAATCATTCGTGATGATATTACTCTAAGTGATAACATTAGGCGTACATTAGGTGTGACACTGGCGAATAATCGTTTTTACCGTCAGATGTGTCTGGTAACGGAACGGAACTGATCGAAAACTTCCAGTTTAACTGCAGAAGCAGCTGCACTATGAAGTCGGGGAACAAAGGGATCAACAACAGAGCGCTCTCTTTGATATTCCAGCTAGAAACGTAAGTTGAGCAGTTACAACAAATCAAGGTATATATTTCCCTCAGTTACGTACGTTTTGGAGCACAGCAATTGATTCGACATATTTTGGAAACCTCTCTTAAGTAATTAATTCAACAGAGATCACGGGGTTCCTCTCGGAAGACGAGTAGTCAGCCTGAAAGTAGCAGTCTCACCGGGCAGGGACATCATGACGCTGATAAACGCGGAAGGAAAACGCGGGAGGAAAAGGTCACGTACTCAGTCAGAGGTGGCAGAGAGCAGTTCCAGTGCAAGTAAGTTATAATAGTTCTTAATAATTTGTCTCAACTTTTTGGGGAAGTAATAGCAAATGTTGAATCAAAAATCAAAATTAAGCCCCTTAAAATCACTAACTCACGCCATCTCAATACTTACACTCAATACTTACACTGTACATTGTATTCTTTCTTTACTTATCTGAGATTTTTGGAACTCTTTTGAGATTTTTGTATCACCAGGTACTCAAAGTGCTGGGAAGACATCTCCCAAAGAATCAAAGAAACGTGTCAAGGCAAAGAGCATGTCAGGCAACCATAAGTACACAGTAGTGGTAGGTGCTCTGTTATTTTTAATTTGTATCTTTAAATTCTGTAAATGTATCATTTGCTATTTCTTTCGCTTGCACTTTGCTTAACTTGAATTTGTATGCAAACATACGTCTTTATTGGGTAGAGTAAATAACACTTTTTCAAGATCAATGGGTTGGAATTGCGGGACAGGTTACAGGTAGTAGCGAATGCTACTGATGCCAAATATAACGGGACATCAGAGACTGGGAAAGAGTGGGCAGAGTAAGTGTTAGTTCTTGTTAGTTCTTGATTATCACACTTTCGCAGTGTCAACACAGGAGAACCCAGAAACTGATCCGCACGATAGCTGGATACTGTGGGGGTCTTGATGATGCGTGAGTGTGATAATTGGTTTCTGTTAATCGGATAATTGATTACTGTTAATTGGATACTTATTTTTTATGAAATGACAGACGACAATTCTAAACTCTAAAACGTACTGAAATGGGTTATTTTTTCATGTCGTAAAAGCAAAATTGCTGAGATGATGTTATTTCTGAAAATGCTTTCCATTTAGGTATTTGGGGGGTGAGCCTTACAGTCAGACTTCTGTTGGAACCCAAGAAAATGGCTCGCAGCCCGACCAATACTCATTAGAAGGGTTTGTGGAATGTTTCTTAAAACCACCAATTTTAAAATTACCAAATTTACAGCAAACTGCATCTCCATTGACCTTTATTAGCCTGTGTTGGCGCTTCATTTGAGAAGTTTCCACGCACTGTAAATTTTAAAACAAAACATACCATTAACAATAATACTTCACCTCAGTTGGCTCTCACGATATGGTCTGGAATGCTACACAGAACAGTTGGAAGAGGCGGGATTCGGATCACCCACTAATTTCCAGTGTGTTCAGGAAAGTGATCTGGACAAGTTGGAGATATTTGACAAGTGTCATCGGCTAACTATCCTGCATGCAGCCAAGCGGATCCTCATCAGAGGAGTAGCTAACATCGTGAAGGGGGAATGTTAGAATTTTATGCACGAAAATAAAATCGAATTCCCTTCCCACAAGGACTCCGTATTCGTTGTATACTCAACGTAATGTGTTTTATTTGACAATTTTGCATTCTGCAGATCAAATTTCATCTCGAGAAATCCGCCCAAATCAATAGCGAGATCAAACCCTACATGTCAATTACACGCGAACATTGTTAAATTTCAAATATTATTCTCGTCAGAAACAAACCGCTTCAATGCATTAATATGCAATGCTTTTATAATTATACATATCATTGAATTTGTATATTTCTGAATAAGTTTCGATGTTCAATTTATTTAATATTATACAGCTTAATTAATATTATCCAGCTAATTTATTAAATTACTTATTCAGATATTTTCATTTTATTCTCTCGATGTTGAAAGGTTTTATTTTACCCCACCTTGATATTGATCGGTAGTTTTGAATTGCAATTGTTTTTAAAATTTAATTAATCAGTTTTTTAGTTTTCTAAATTTTGTTTTATATTAGTCAACTAGCATGTGGATTGGGGTGTTGTGATGACTTATAACTCTCTTTATAAACTCTGTAGTACAGCATCTTAGTATTTGTAACCAGAGAAACTATTCGAGGTTTTTCCAGGACCTATGGATTCTAACTATCTCCTTAGGGGTACTTCACATTACGTAATCATGGCTTGATCCCCCCATTATTGTTGACTTTTTTCTCTGGAAAACACTTTTCTCTACGTTCATGCTACTTTGATCATTATGAGCCGAAATCATTTTTATGAAAAAATATTGTCAAATTTATTCTAGAGGGTAAAAACCGTGTTAATTTGTAGCTCTTAATTTTCTTAACGGTGACATTCATCAAGAGATATAATCATTAATGAACTTCAACTTTAAAAAGGTTATGAATTTGAAGGTTTTTTATACGTTACAATTATGTTCAGAATATCAGACCATTCTCTTTTTAATCTCTATTTAATTATTTGTTTTAATGTCACTCGTATAACGACAATAATTCAATAACATAAGTTTTAAAGTAAGATTTATTATAAATTAATAATTCAGTTTAACCGGGGGTTGAACTTTGATATGCAAATGTAGCCAATATATTACATCAACAGTATAGAAAACATCCTCGAGGAGGTCACGTTTTCAGTCTTTCCTCGGCTTTGAGCTAAACTATAACTCCTAATATGGACATAAATATTAAATATTTAGATAATAGTTTAATAGATAATCCAATTCCACCCAACATGTTTGTAGGATTCACATTTCTTTAGTTTCCTGCGATCAGTAAGTTCATCACTTGGTCAGTAGATTCCCCAGATATCACACAGGTCACGTGTTCACTTAGCAGACATAGCACTGAGATTTAAGTGACCTGAGTAGATCTTTTGCTCGAGGTCTTCTTCCATATTCTCAGTTTCCCTAAACTATCTGGAGTCAGCAAGATGAAGATGGTAGGATTAAGTGCAGCTAAGAAGCAAGGTACTAGTACTACACTGCTTGCTACCAGATTGATTGCGGAGTACGAATATTCATTTGTTCCCTGAGTTGTAGTAGTTAGTTACGGATAGGAAGGGAACGCTGCCCCGCAAACATAGATCAGGTATATGAAACTACAGGAGTTTCCTAGGAGAATCTTCGTCGTAATCTTTGTGTAATTTCTCTGTGTTCCTGTGTTTACTCCTTTCTTTCCCATTAGCGTTACTATGGCCAAAACGCACGCTACAAGTCCAATAACAAATAAATTAGTACAGTATCGGCACCACATAGTGCATACAGAATCACAGACACTGTTACTTTGGGCCAGTTAGGATACCCAAAAGGCGAGAACACCATGATCTGTTGAGTTGATCCGATCCAAACGACCATTGAAGGAACTGTCGTGGAACCAGGTCGTGCGGAGTTTATGGTAACAACAGTCAGGATTATCTGCATCAGAACAAACCCAGGCTTGTACCACGTCGTGACTCCCACGGTTGTAGGTTTATAACCTACCAGGACGCGCGCCGAGTTGGATTTTAAGAGTATCACCCGTTAACCCCCACGGTCGTTTTCACTATCGTTTTTACGATACAGGGGGAGCCGCGCACTCGTGCGTGGCGGGTCATACAACGTATGACAAACCCAGGCATTGTGATTGTGGAAAAAACATTTCTTTTTTCCAATTGCAATGTGTCTGAACGGGTATCTGATCTGAATAAGCCTGACGACTGTTAGAGCCACCCAAAGTATAGCCGGTAGAACTATCAGGATCGCGGCTATGTTTCCGTATATTCGCAGTGAGAGGGCTAGAGCTAGATTATTAAAGAAGCAGAAATAGAATTGAAATTAATTGACGATGTCAATTCATCTCAGCTCGGCGCGGCACAGTAGCGCATCTCGCTGTGAGAAGCCTTATTGAGTGCGCGGCGCGGCACAGTAACGCATCGCGCTACAAAATTGAAACAATTCCGGGTCAGTCGCGACACCTGCCCTTACATCCTTATCACCACCTTTATCAGGACTACTTTCATCATTCACACCTTTACCAGTATCACGTTTATTTTTAACAGAGTCACCTTTGCCACTATCAGTATTAACGGGTGATACTCGTAAAATATCTGTTCCATATATTGGACCGTCGACGAGTCCAACTCGGCGCGCGTCCTGGTAGGTTGTAAACCTACAACTATCAGTATCACATTCACTGTCCTCGTTTTCAGTAGTATAGGTTAAGGAGGGTTGATCGAGGATGCAGCAGCAAGCAGAGGGAGAGGATGGTGGTGACTCTGGTGAGGATGATGTTTGGAGAACTGGTTCCTCCTGTACTCAAGATCGCCATTTTGCCTGGTAGTGGTGAGTGGATTATTATACTTGATACATGTTACGTATCCCAAATATCAGAGATATATATGCCTTTTATCAGAGATATATATACCTTTATCCGCCTTCGGCGGCGCGCGCTTCGCGCGCGAAAAGTGGCATGCAACGTATGTCAATATTATACTAAGAATTGACGAATCTAATTTATGTCCACATACTCAATACTGTAGTATAGTATTAGTAGGTCCTACAGTTATAGTAGGTGAACTATTATAAACGCTCATAGTCATACCGTTGCCAAAACTGATTCGTTTTTTAGTTGATTGGATATCGTGAAGTAGTATTTGTACAATAATTATCTAATTGATCCATTAAACATTACATAGCAATGGCAGTTGCTCATGGTCGTTACTTCATCTATTTCCCTTGATTGACGATGTCAATCCTTCGCATCTCGCCGATCTGCTTAAGGTTGCGAGAAGCATTATTTGATGCGCGCGCGACCCAGTAGTGCATCGCGCTACAACTATTTGTACAACTATTTCCCCTGTTGTTAGTATTACGTTATGCTTATAATTAACGGGTGATAGTGATACTCGTATAAAATAATAATACGTTTCAAGACCGTCGAAGAGTCCAACTCGGCGCGCGTCTTTGTAAATTATAAACCTATGAACTTATAGAAGGGCTCCGAAGTACTTAAAGTTAACTGCTGCATACTGCTCGTTTTCAAAATATAAACCACAAATGCAGCAACATCAAACATGTACGTATTAAGTTTGATCATTGATAGTGATACACGGTGCAAATCTTTTTTCGCGCCGGCCGGCCGAAAAGGCTCTTTCTCATTTCTGTGAAAGAGATATTGGATATCCAACGTCAAACTCGAACGTGTATCAAATTCAATAACAAGTATTGCTCGAACCAGAGCCCTCTCGCTTGCAGTAGCGCGCGCGACCACCGAAGGCGGCACAGGATTCTACTTGTTATGTAAAACAAGCCCGTTAGTAGAGGCTCTTACGGGCATTGTCTGCTCGATACCTTAGGGACCCCAGATACACCTTACTAGACGTATTTTTGACCGTAGATTCGATTGAAAGTGGTTTCAAGATGATTGGACTGATTGTTCTGGGGTAAAATCGCAAAAAACCGATTTTTGGGCCAAAAATAGGCCAAAAAACCATGTTTTTTGATATTTTGAGCAAGTTAATTTTATTGGCATGTCGGCAAAACTTGCATAAAGATAGCTAAAAGACAGCCGCACAAGATTGTATAAAAATAAAACAAATCCCTCTATTTGTTCTGAGGTAAAAATCCAAAAAAGTGGTAAAAATTTTGATTTTTTTGCTTGAAGTTTGAATAATTTTTTGCAGTTGTATTAAATCAACCCAAAAATAGTCACATCGTGTTTGCCTAAATTTTTCCTTTCCGAGAAGTACCCACTTCATATACTTGATCGAAGTTTGAATATTTTCACTCCGCAAGCGTTTTTGCCAAATTTTCGACGCGCACTACGCGCAAAAGCATTTAGTTGTTATCAATTGGCACCCGCGCGTTCATCATAAATTTCAAACAGCTATAACTCAGCGAGATTATGTCCGTTCTAGCTCATATTTTCACACTAAATAGAAAATAATGTGATCTTATTGCTGACAAAATATGAATATAATTACTCTATTTGCCTTAGAGTAATAGACTGTCAAAGTTTAAAACGCGCATTGGTATAGCACGTGACTAATAAGGCCAAATTTATACTTCTTAACATATTATCGATCCTTAGACATCATACTATTGTGTCCAATTAGCGGTTATTTCTCTAAACTCGTAGCAGAAAACACGTCTTTTTGCCCGTAAGAGCCTGTACTACGTCATGCAGTACGCGAACACACATTGCTATGTGAATAGCAAGTATGTAATGACAACGTACACCAGGATCCAGGCCAGGAAATATAAACTATTTTAAGTAAAAGCCTGATATAAAGTGTCAGTGAAATTTAACTTTTAACGGGTGATACTCGTAAAATATCTGTTCCATATATTGGACCGTCGACGAGTCCAACTCGACGAGTCCAACTCGGCGCGCGTCCGCGTCCTGGTAGGTTGTAAACTTACATTTTTGGAAGTAAACGTGATGTATATTATAGTTGAATATAAGTTTATTCAGCTCCAGCAAATTGTATTTTTATGTCATCCATTTTCTGTCCTCATCTGTGTGCTGTGATTCTGTGAAGTTGACGGATGTTATATTACTGGTCTAAATTTATTACGAAGTAGAGCGCGCCTCGCTTTCTTATTTCTTCTCGAAATGATATTATCATTTATATGGCCCGAGGCAAGTGCTACAAAGTAGTGCTCGCCGGGCTAGTCCATTAACAATGGACAACACCTAACCATACATGATATACAATTATATATGGTGAGTCTACTGCTACTGCAAGCGTGAGCGGCTCTGGTTATTGTTAGTTAAATTAGAGCTTGACCATTGTTAATGGATTAACCCGGCGCACGCTACTTTGTAGCATCTTTGACGGATGTTACTCGTCTAAATTTCTTCGAAGTAGCGCGCGCCGCTTTCTTCTCGAAGTAGCGCGCGCCGGGCCAGACCATTACCTTGCTCTAACCAGAGCCCTGATCTCGCTTGCAGTAGCGCGCGACCGCCGGAGGCGGCAAAGTATCCTACTTGTGAAACAAGCGCGTCACGCAGTACGCGTAGGCACATGGCTATGTGAAACCATTAACAATGGTCAATCTAAGCCTCGGGCATGGGCAAATATATCGAGAAGAAAGCGGCACGAGCGCTACTTCGAAGAAATTTAGGCGAGTAACATCCGTCCACGTCAAGTTAGATCGAGCAAGTCAATATTTGTAGGTTTACAACCTGCTTGTCAGATCATATGTTGTATGCAGTATGACCCGCCGCGCACGAAGTGCGCGGCTCCCCCTGTATCGTCACCTAGTGAAACGACCGTGGGTATCACAACGTGATACAACAACCTACCAGGACGCGCGCCGAGTTGGACTCGTCGACGGTCCTGATTATTGGAACGAAAGTCAAGTCCACCTCACGAGAGTCGTTGCTATAAAAGATTTGCCACTACTGACTACGTGTTTTAACAACCGCAAGAAATTCGTCGGCTCCCTGGCCAGTACATGAACACTGAAAATCACTGTACCAGCGCTTTTAAAAATTGGCCAAAAAGTGATCACGTAATATGTGATCAAAGCAAAAGCTTTGCTCTCATGAATTGTGATTAAGAAGCATTATGGAAATTACTGAGCGGCGCTCGCAGCCTGTCATTCCGCCGAATCTCTCTTCATATGTTTATGAACATTATATATGATATTGATATAGCCTAGGGTCCCCAGGTAAGCTAAAAGTTAAGATAATGCTTGTCATAAGTTGTATGACCCGCCGCGCACGAGTGCGCGGCTCTCCCTGTATCGTCAGAACGATTAAGGGGTTAAACGACCGTGGGGATCACGACGTGATACAAAATAATGTATGGTAGCATTTTTATTTTGGTTCTGGCATCGTATTTAGCAGTGGACTCATGCACGAATGGGTATTGGTTGCAACATGAAACAATAAAATTACGTGGTATAGCCAATATTTTAATTGGCAGAATACCGCTGACAAGTTGAGTAGAACTGTTCCATTACAAATTGACAGGTTTGTAGCTGCTCATCGTGTTCTGCAGGAAGCCTAGTAAAGCAGTAATGTCTCCTACAACTAGTTGCTATCCGGATGCTTCTGAAAGAAAATCCGTTTAACGTCAGACAGCTGATTCTGACTATAATGTTGCGGAATTAAGGTGTGTTTTATGAAACCTTACCATAAAACACGATGGACCTATTATAATTACAACCGTAGAACAAATTAAGAAATAGGATCAAGGTTTTGGGCTTACTATAAAATCAAATAATATTACATTTTACAAATACAAATAAACCTGCTTTGTAACAAAAGATTCTTTTGTCAAAAAAAAAACAGACAGAATAAATAAGTCTTTCGATTGTTTGATTCATTTATAATTCAATTCTTGGCAGTCCTGGACACTGGACAGTCTGTAGTTGTAGAACAACGACGGTTCAAAATTTCCACTGATTACAAGTCTACGATATCAGCGACGGTAGAGGAAGAAGCAACACTGGAAGTAGCCGTGTTACCCTTGCCGGTGGTAGCAATCTTGTCACACGGAACCGTGCTCTCAGATCTAGGTATAGATCTAGGAGTGGGAACGGCGGAGGCTCCGCTCTGCTTCATGGTGCACATCTCGATATTCTGGGGTTCTGAAACTCGGTTCAGGGACTGGGACCTTTGTCCGGTGTGAAGAGCTCGATGATGCCTCTGCATGTACCCCACTGTGCTGTGGGACCTGTGAACCTGTCTGACCGGCCGGGGAACTCTGGGGTCGATGGGATGAGCACACCGGGGGTCGGCGGGGGAGGGACGGTACACTTCGTACCGAACTGGTCGAGTGTACACTGGTCGTGGGTAGCCGCGCACTTGAGGGGGTATCATCTGATTCTTGTCCGGATAAATGACTTGACCTTGGGCTGCGTTCCTGTCAGGAAAGTTATCAGATTAGTGGGCGGATAGTGGACCTGTGTAATGTTTTCCAGCGGGAGGCGGCAATATTACTGCCGTCTGGAATATTCCCACAATTTTTAGATCAAACTAACTGAGTTAAGAATTTGAAGAAGCGTTAAAAATTTAAGATTTACAAAGCACAAATCGATACTGAATATTAGTAAAGTGTAAAGGTTAAAGAATTGCAGCTTACTTTGGAAACTCTGGAGAAACAAGTTGGCGTTGACTCTGGTCGATTTGCTCGTATTTAGACAAGTCACCGCCCTTCTTCAATAACTCTTTCAACCCCAACCTCAGCTCGGGGCTAAACGAAACCACTGATATCGGCATCAGGATCATGGAGGAGTAGGTGAGAAGAAGTGATGTCCTCTCCAGGGCCACAGTTATATTTTCTGGCAAATCTGCTGCTTTGTCCAGAACGACGAAGATAACTGAGGCAACAGCAGCCAAGGTGTAAACCCCAGAAGTCACCAGTTGGGGCAGAAAGGTGGCACCTTTAGATCGCTTATGTTTCAGTGCGTCTGGTAACGATACCCGGGGTAAGGTCACCAGGTTAAAGGTAATGAAGAGCCACAAGACGATATATATAGAGTTTGTGATAGTGGGTATGATTCCTAATAAGGAGGTGGGAGAGTGGCATGTTCCCACATTAGAGTGGTAAGTGTAGCTGCCTAGTCCGGGGATGAGGGGCAGGACGGACAACACCGTGCAGACAACCCAGAACACGGTGATATTGATACCGATCCTCTTGGTGGTGTACAACTTGCAGTGCCGTCGACTGTTCATTCTGTAATGATACCGCTCGTTGAGGACATGGAACGCAGTGAACATTACCATGTGTATGAAGCAGCTGTTGAAGAAACCCACCAGGTGACAGACCAGGCCAGGAAATATCCACTTGTTGCTGATGAGAGTTACTACTCCGAACGTCATGGAGAACAGAGCCAGGGTTATGTTGGTGCAGGAGAGGTTGATGTAGAGTAGTTGGGAAGGGGAGATGAGGACTGGGTTCCTGGGAAGAGATTTGTTCAAAAAGAGTTATATTAAAGGCACTGCGAATCATATCTTATTTTGTCGATCAGAATTTTAATCGATATGATCCTTGTTAAAAATCCTTTTTAACAAGGATCATATTCGATAACTTTGAAAAATAGCATCAAAATTAAGCTAATCATACCTGATGAAAATGATGAGGAGAATGACGTTCACAGCAATGACCAACAGGAACACAAGGGAGAAGAACATGGTATAGGCAATGTTCCCATGAGTCACCAGATCGTATTCTGTTATTTCCATAGCTGTCAATACCTAGAAATGGGGTATGGTTAATTGAGAATTCTCAGTACAGAAATTATTACTAATCTTTAACACTTAATTCTATCATCAGATAATCAGCTAATCATTTAGGTATAGTGTCAAACATTTCATTGCTAAAGTGATAATTTTAAACGAGGCGTGTGGATTACGACGCAACTCTTAAATACATCGATTTACAACAGGACACAAATCAATTTAGGATATTCTCTTATGGAACTGAATAAAATATTTTAAAGTTAACGGTTTAAACGTCACGCAGACAATTTAGATTTGACAGATAAGGGAAATGAAATAAAACCGACAGATTAAAAACAGAAAAAGTTTTAAAAAGTGGCATCAAGTTTCGTTAAGTTAATAAGTAGCAATATAAGAGTATCACGGCATATGGCAAAATAAGCGACAAATCATGTACAGCAGAACAAGCCGCAAAGCCCAGGACCCGATAGACTACACTGTATATGGTCATGGTATTATGTCCGAGTAGAATCGACTTTAGTTGACGAAATATGGCAAGAGTTAAAACAGCATTGTTACGACGCGGGACACTGAACACAGCCGGTTAGGGGAGATGACACTGCCAGCCGACCAGGCGAGGCGGGGAGATGTACAATGTTGTAGTATCGTGTGAGAACAGATCTGATATTATACAGAGGTCCTGTCAACGGTTAGAGAAGCCAGACGTTAACCCGATCACGGAACCAAATCAGTAATTAGTTCACACGAGTTATAATTAGGTGTAGACGAGGCGGAATGGTTTATTTACCCCGTTAACAAGTTAATAATAGCAACGTTAAAGTGAGAGAGAGGGAAAAGTGCAGAGGTTGGAAAAGCTGAGGGCAAAAGTCTGCAGATTATATCGAGACAATAAGCGGAGCACGCTGGAAGGGTCCAGTCTTACTAGAACTAGAAGCATGCGCACAGTGTGATAATGAATTATCGCTAAAATCTGGCGTGCTCCGAGACTTCCACATTGATATACAAGCCCCTGGAATTAGGGACGAATTATTGGATGTCGTAAAGCGTGTGCCGAGTCGACTCTATCTCGGCATATAGGGTTTCAGAAATCCCTCTGGTGTTTGGTTTCGGGTTCCCTTACCATTCAGCACAACACAGACCTATCCGAAAAATAGGGACAACGGCCAAAAATAATTAATCGTACGCAAAGAAATAAGAATTACGAAGAAGGGTTATCAGAGTGCCACATGCAGGCCAAGGGTTGACCGGGGCCAGATTGAATTAAAGGCGTGTTATACCCGCCTATAATATATTACTTGAGTATGTATTCGACATTATCATCTTTCTTGCAATATATGCGAGATAATGAATCTCCTCCGTGAAAGATTGCTAGGAATGTGGAATGAACGTGTTTTCTCTCCCCTGGAAAATCAAACCTAATTATGTCGCCTTACACCGGCACGGGTCGCAATAATGTCAAAGGGATCGTCAGTACTAAAAATACATTCCACAACTCGAGTTTTTGCGGTGATATCCTTAGTCCAGCTGTCGCGTGGGTGGAGATAAGTAATTTTGAATAGGAAGTGGTACATCCCAGGAACTTGGCAAAATGTTTTTGAGAGAAAGAATGCGTGTTAAAGCTTGAACGGTGAATTAGATTTGCAAATAATTCCATAGAGAATGATAGTTGCTGGAATGGGCGTGATATTATTGAAAGAACAGTGCGTGATCGCTAGCAAATTAAAACAAATTTTAGCAAATTCAAACAAATTTTAGCAAATTCCCGAAATTAGTGTTTAAAAGGAATGTGCGGAGTCCGAAGGAAATCTACTAAATTCACGAATATTTTCTAATATCTTAGCCGCCTAGATGTCCTCGCAAAACATATTATTTAAAAAACGGCCGATTTCCCGGCCGTTGCTATAAATAGTTCCACACCACCGCTATAACCTTATTTCGCAGCACAATACGAGCATTGAGCAACTATCATAGGTCTAAATGTAAACACAATGAGATCAGCACATGTTTTACAATCATCTAAACGGCTCACAAAACACCAAATTATGGCTGTCATTCTCTTTATCTACCACGAGTAAAGTGACACAACAAAAAGGCGTTTAAGACAAAACGAGAAGTACTAATTCGTCCAGATACAAAATAATCGCCGCTGCCGCTGCCATGTGATGACCTCCATCGACTGCAACACACAAAGCGAACTGAACAAAAGATATTTATATACTGAACTAAGCAATGATAGCCGACACGAGACGAGAACAATCGCCATAGAAAGCGGATTGAAGAACGCAGCCAGGAGCTTAATAATGTGTATAATATAATAAGACACGAGCACGATCATCAGCGTGGGTGTGGCTAGTTATTGATGAGCATTAAAATAATGATAATGTCAAGCAGGAGAAGTGACATAGGTAATGCATTGTAATCTATAAAAGATGTAGGAGTATTATAATGTAGGAGGATTGATGTAGGTGGATCTAATAAAGTGAATCATTACATTCCGCTTCGCTTCTTAACGTCGTTATCAGTAGCTAATCAGTGAAAGTGTGGGAACGGGATACGGAGCTGTGGGAAAAGGTGTAAGTTTAAGTTCTCTTCACACGGTAGACGTGGCAACACGCTCCACGATCACAACAAGTAATCTGGTAATATCGAGATACGAGTACTGATAACTAGGTGTTAACATGAGGACAATACCTGATCGGGACAGATTATATCGAGATTAAACAAAACAGCAGATGATCAGATATACTGCTGCACAGTACAACCGTTATAGACAGGAGGAAAAGAGGGGCCAGCAGTTACCTCAATTAGCTTGTCTCTGATTGGTACGTTTCCAGAATACTTGCTCTCTATTGGTCAATGTTGTCGTTGATAGCGGCGGGCAATACAAATAATTGCAATTAAACGATCCGCCTTATCCTTGTAATTAATATTTGGGCACTTCACGGCGCCCAGCTGATCCGGCCAGAGAAAACCCCTGGTGGTGAAAGGAAGTGGTCTAGCAGGACCCGTGACGTAGGGTGGAGAGGGATGGTCTGGGTAGAGTGGGACTAACAGAAATAACTTATAACAGGAACAAAGACTAGCGAAAATAAATGATACCGATTAACAAAGGAGAAACGGACAATGACGTTATCGGTATTGGGATCGTATGAAAATGTCATCAGAAATATCGAGAAATTTCACCCAGAGAGTGACGTATGAAACGTGTAGAACATACCAGAGTAATCAACACTCCAGTCACTGACAAAGTGTCTGAACAACTGGTTAACTAGCCACGGGTATGCTGACTATCACAACACCAACACCGAACGCTTGATACACTCTCTATCGCTCCCCAGACCAATTAGGCTAAATACTGTTGCGATTTTGCACAAACCCCTGGACCTGCTTGATAGAACAAGTCACGTGGTGATACGTTCATAGTCCGTACACGTTGCCAGGTAACAGCACTGCTATCACGTGCCACCCCACGTGGTCTGTCAGAAAATTAGTTTATTGTCTGCTTGTCGAGATCAGGAGCAAAGTTAGGCCCCTCCGCTGATTTGCCAGGTTTCAGTTTGTGTCAATTAATAAAGAGTCTCTGAATAGTGGCGTTGTACGGAGAAAAGAGGCCAGCTGAGTGTGAGAAATGTCCGAGGAGTCTAGCCGCGTGACGAGCTAATCACCAATATGTTGACACAGCCCGCTTAAAACTCCATTATCGATAATGAATAGCTTGGGAAACAGCCTGGTAAGTGGCAGTTGTAAGAACACTGATACCACTGGGAAGGGATACGTGATGAGGTTGATGAGAATCCAGTTAATTGATAGAACCATGAGAAGAACGCTACAAACAGTTAACGAGCCTATGTTCGTCCGAAATGCGATCACAAAATGAACATGAACGAGGGGTCAGCTACTTTAATGAGGTCCCCAAAATGTGATCAGTTTCTCCGGAATTAGATAAACTATGAAGGCTGTACCCCTGTGTTTTGAAACAAAGAGAGACGACGAGACATGTAATGTTGGTGTTGGGTACCCATTATCACACGGCACCATATATTTCATTACACTCCCCTACGCTGACTTCTTAATTTACGGTTGATTGAATTGCTAATTGGGATGGATATATTCTAACTTTGGTGGTCCTTCAACAAACAAGATAATATCCAATAACAGGCTCTAGGTGGGATCACGTGTGAGTGGTGTGTGAAGATTAAATTATAAAACCAGACGGGTCGGGTAGCAGCGAACCTGTCAATAGCCGATGGGAAAATCGCAACTAATTGGGAACTTGAAATTGGGAAGCTAGTGAGTAATGTTATCACTTCCTTTAGTAGATAGAGTTAAAGGGGGTGGTTGATTGATCTCTTGAGGAGGATTTCCCACTCAGAGAAGCAAGAGATTAGACACACCGGCTGTTAGGGGCCATAATTGAACACCTTGCATCTTGACGTCAAATTCCAATTAAATAAAGAAGAGGCAAGGCCTGCGAATAATACACCACCTTGAGGCTCTATTCGCACGATCTATAATAAACTTTAAATTGAGTATCAAGATCAGACAACATTGTCGTCATCTTAAAGTAAAAGTTAACTTCACTGACGAAATTCATGTTATAGAATTCATCAAGGGGTGATAATTTTAAACGTTTTGTCTCTCAAGTCTGCCAATCTTAAATCATTTATTCTTTCGATTGACGGAATCTCTTTAAGTAGCTAGTGTCATTTATGAAATTGTTCGAAAAAGTGAATTCTGTCATAGAATAAACGAAAGACCAGAAATCTCATTAAATATTGGAGATAGAGAACCCTTGCTGACATCTTGAACACGTGCCACGAAATTTTAAACCAAAGATGAAAGAATCTTCGCGTTGATAAGCAATTTGGTATCTCTTGAAGTCTAGAGTAGAGTTTGTAAAACAGAAAACAAAGCTATTTTAGATTTTGCATAGCACTAGGTAGTCCGCAAGAAAACCTTTTTCACACTGTGCATAACTTTAGAAACTGTGAAATAAATTTAAATAATTAACAAGATTTAACTTATTTCAGAAATTCAGTATCATGTTTTTTCTTGTTAAAAATAAGTTTGGTTTCAGCGTGGATTGTTTTTAACTATCTGTAACTGAGATCGCTCGAGTCTCGACTGAGAAACAAATTTCAAGCAAAACAATTAAATTGTCAATAAAATGTCTGTTGTTTATCAGCTTCAGCAACATTCCACTCCTCCAGACTTAGACTGAAGATAAAAAATAATTGATCGGACGTTCTTATATTGCCTGTCCGATAGCAAACATATGGGCAGCCTCGGAGTGGCTCTTTGAAGCTTTCAGGATTCATTACATCCACGAGCAGGTAGTTCATATTCGCTGTTCATTCCATTGTTCAGCACGTCTATTGAATTGCGGCTATTTTTTCTCGATTCCGCAGAAGTATTACAGCAAGATAAACGGCTCGATCTTTAAAGAGTAAATGCATATTCCAGTTATTTTCAGAGAATATTTCTAAACTCAATCAAATATTCGTTTGTGGCTACAATTTCGCTTGAGAGTCGCGTTTGAACCACCCTAGAACCGCCTGACAGAATTGACAGCCACACAGGTGCCTTACATATGCCATATGTGTGCCACCGGACTAGTAATTTAAGACATTTTCGAACATATATTCCGGAGAAGGGTTGGAAGAAAATTTGAAATCAAATCAAAATCATGAAATCAAATCTCGGGCCGGGGAAAAACTATTAGCCAAATGCAACTAGTAAACGCGCCAAACATCTATGTTCGATAAGTGTAAAAAGCTAAAATTCGGACTCAAAATTCAGGACAGGTCACAGGCACCGTTATACGACTTACTAACTTATGACAAATGGGTAATGATCTCAGATTGTCAAAACTTTCCCAGATTGAACTTTGGACATCTACTCAAGGAAAGACTATGGCATATGTTCTGACATACTCAATTTTCATTACCAAAAGCATTATGCATAATATAGAATAAGAATAAGAAATGACAAACAGATCCAGTGGCCAATAAAAGAAGCAAATCTAATCAACAATAGCGCCCTAGTAACTTGAAAATAAGATTAATTGCAATCCCACGGTCGTGATAACGGTAACCAATTGCAACACAAGACACAGATCTCGTGAGTAATATAACTGACACGTGATCAGATGAAGTGTATTTAAGAGATAGTTAGGAGGGGTAGGGGTTCTCTTCTCACCGTGAGAAAATAACATCACGTGACCACACGGAGGTGCATGCTCTTCTCGTGTTACCATGGTAACCAGGTTAGGCCCCCCTGATCCAGGATAGTTAGTATTAATTGCACGTGGGAAGGAGAGTAGGTGCGCCGAACGATCTTTAAGAGATACAATATTAATCATTAGTATCTCATATTTTCTAAAGTTTGTTAAGTATTGGATTATGGTGGTTTGAAGCATATTAACCGTTTATAAATGATTACCGTTTTGGTAAGCTGGTAAGGACTAAGGAGTACCGTGTTTAAAGATAATTGCATGAGACTAGCGTTTAGAGGTCACTTTAAGGTTTAATAGTGCCTGGAGCATGCACTATGAACACTCCGGGAACAGGGACGATAAATCTGATAAGAGGTTCTAGTTCTACAAAAAGGTGGCATGTTATATTTCAACTCCAGTGAGGGGGAAACAAAGCAAACGAACCAGGCACAAGTAACACCTCTCTTCTCCGGTCAGATTCAGAGGAAAGGTGTATTGGTTTATTAATTAAAATTACCTGGTTGAGCCGTCTAGAGCAGACTAGCAGTTTGAAAACAAAAGGCCCGCTGACACAGCTGGGCCAGTAAACACGGAAGTAGCCATTTTGTCACTACATCTGTCAGTCCCGCGACCTATGTGGGAAGAAACAGTACCTTTTTGCAGTTGCCCGGTGAGGAAACATGGGTGATCCGGTCCACGTGAAACACAGACCTTCTCTTGGGAACAGGAGATCCATATACCGGATCTTGTTGTATAGGGATGTGTGGGAAAGTGGCTATTACAGTTCTATTATTTAGCAATTACGTAAAGAGCGGTGTGAAAACAGGTTGCAAGAGCTCAACTGACGGATTACCTCTCGATAATATACTGCTGTAACCCATATTAAAGTCTGGAAGAATGATATTCTTCTTTATTTTCTAGAACGATGTTTCGAGTAACGAATTGATCCTATAGAGCACAGTCCTACTAGAGTCTGAGAGGTTTGAGCCTCGAGGTCATTAATTAAAAGCATAAAAATTAGAAACCCTCTGATCAGATAGATATTACCGCAGAATTGAGTCCTATTTTTGACAAATCGGGCTGAAATTAAAGTTTTGAGACGCTTCAACGAGGTAATGAGAGCGATGATTCCCGAATATGACCGCTTGTATGGTACGAAAGAGAGCGGTTCAGAAGTATCCGACCGCCACACTCGCGCGGCTCAACACAACTCCATTGGCCGGATTAGATTAACTCCTTTATAAATAGACTTTGCACAATACACATTCAATTTTCGAGTAACTGCCACTGATATCTGCGGTGCCCTGGCTCTATTGACATGGAATTGGATATTTCAGTATGATAGTTTCATATTTGAACATGTTGCAAACTGATACAAACACAAATTACACAACTTTTGGAATCAACAGCAGACAAGTACCTAGCAGGATAACCACTAAATCCAGTTTTGAGTGAACTTGTGCACGACGAGAATTGTGGTTGAAAAGTGGCGGCGACTTCCACGCCTGGATATTCATGAGGCAGCGGCTATACACTCTGGAAGTAACAATTCAACAAATCCTTGTCTGGATTATTGGGGGAGGAACCACTTTAAAAATCGGAGAGCTTTCGAAGATCGTCGATTTATGGATTATCGCTGCAAAATTTGTCGTAAGAGTAGTAATAGTATCCTGCAACCTATATAATTCTCAAGTTCCTACACCACCTACACTGTTGCAATGTTACCACATTGAAGAATTTTCGTGGTATCGCTCTTTTTCAACCAATCAAACATTGAGTTTTTTGAATATGGATATAGAAAACTCATATATGGAATTTGAGTAATGTGATCAAATTTCTTGCATTGCATCCACAGGTGCAATGGGGAGTGATACCATCAAGACTGAAGACATGTCTGGGAAAGTTTAAAATTTAATCGATTTTCGCTGATGACAATGAAGGATAATATTCGATCGTACGACGATCGAATGATAGTATTAATACGAAGATCGAATGACAATGATAACAGACAAAAATACCTATCCCATAAAAATCACAGACAAAATGAATTGATCTAAATCAAATGAACAAAACAACATGTCATTCAGGACAGTACATTTTCAATTTCATTATGAATATTACAAAGATCAAATAGTAATACGAATATAAATATAATGATAGTAATACGAAGATCGATTGTAAGTTTAGAAGCTGGGTTATCGTGCTGAGAGCTCACGTTAACAGATTGAAGGTTGTGAACGTAACACCTTATCACAATCAGTAGAGGAAAGTAATAACGGTAACTAATAGTAATTGTTTTAAAGAAACGCAAACAGGAGGTAGCAACAAGAACTTTAAAAACTCCAGTCGCGTCGTTGTTGAAAATAGCAGTGTGAATCAGAATAGTAGAATAAAATGTTTAAAACTCTGATGAGAACGGTCGATGCCCGTCTCATTGGTATCGCACAAATAGAAATTATAAGCAAAACTGAGAGGAAGCTTAAGTTCCCCTGTTTCTAAGGAACTATGACCAGTGCTCAAAGTCAAAGAAGCTGAAATCACGCATGTAAATGTAACGACAAAAATAGAAGCAAACCTTGCATTTGATTTTGAGATCACCCGGAACACGACAACAAGGCAAACAAATAGTTACAGAGAGAATGTCCCAACAGCCCAGAAAGTACCCTGAGAAGCACGCACGAGCTCGTTGTTATGACCCTCCAGCTATTTGCTGTGGTGCCCGCTCACAATTTGATTGTTACTTTTACTTCCTACCAGCCAGCCGGCCAGATACATCACATTCTCTGAATCACAGCACATATCCAAATATTCAGATTCATCAAGCTGGCGACTTCAGACTTGGTCTGATTTCGTTAGAAGCTAACAAACACCCGTAACATTTAATGTCGTTCTAGTTGGATATTACATTTATTAATCTTGGGCAAATCACAACAGGGGGTCTTTTTTTAACGGTATTATTTCATTTTGTTTCGAGTTCCCTTCGTTAATTCTCTATTAATCATAGCTCCAGAGTTGTAACCGGACACGCTCGAAACGAAGCTGGGCCCGAGCTGTTAACTGTACAGGAGCAGCGGCAGGAGTGAAACGGTTAGCTGGTGCGCTCTTATTCAATACTTCGTACCTTTCATTAGGATATTTTCCTTGATTTTGATGGCGTTTAAGCAGCATGTCATTGATCTGTCGTTATGGTTTCTTATAATTCCATCATGCATGTACCATTGTACCCAAGAGTCACCTTCAGATATGTTTTACCTTCCAATTTCTTAACTTAGAAGCAATTATGTGGCCACTGCATGCGTTTAAGCATCAAGCTAAGTACCTTAATATAGCAACAAATGTGCCCCACAAGACATTTATTTCTGAAATAAGAAGACAGTACAAAAAACCGTGACTCATGATCGTTAAGGAATTCGCGGTCTCGACATCCTTCAAGGTTTTGACAGTAGTCTGTCTGGAGTGTTGCTCATCCGCATTAATGTTTAAAATCTCAACTTCCCGCCAAAACTGTTTGTATTGTACCCAGGATCTCATCAAGAGCGCCGGTGATTGAAGGGTGAGCACAACTGGAACTAGAATCGCACAATTAGCTACAAATTACTTCCGCCATATTACCATCATGTAGGATCAGGGTCTGTTATCCAAGATAGATACAGGAGATAAAAACTCATTCGTCATCTAATTCAGAAGGACCTGCACGTTTGCAGTCGGGATTGGGTTTCTGTTACCAAAATCTGGAACCTATACCCTGAGAGTATAGGTTCCAAATTACTCTCCTACAAAAATGAAGTGTAGGTCTACGAGAATTCTGATGTCTACATTCGCCCATTGTCCAGCTATTTTTATAAAATGTGCATATCAATCTACATTGGTCAAAGTGCATTATAACTGCCGTTTTCTGACAAAAGTGCTTAAGTAACACAAGGTTCATTTTGTGCAAATTGACTTTAAAGATCTCAATTCTGTAATTGCTCTTGGCTAGCTGCTGTCAAATTTAAACTGCACCCACAATCCACATCGGCGTAAACTCCATGTTCTGATGAAAATGACCCGTTCAAACCATTGTTCATCGAAAATAAGACGAAAAATTAGCCTTAAACTTGGCTGTAATATTGGGACACGCTGAAATAAAAAATTTGAAAATTTCGTTTTCTGAGAAAAGTGCTGTGCACCAACATTAGTGAGAACTTTATCTGCGATCATTCTGACCCAAAATTTTACGACAAATTGATTGGTGATGGTTTAAGAACACGAAAACACTCCCTTCTCCCCAGCGGAGTTTAAAAATAGTGGCAACGAGCAGGAATGAAACGTTGCAGTTCCTTATAAAATTCTGTTTTCGAATCGGAATTCTACCAGCATTTTGACGCTTGTTTTGACGAAGAGTCGATTGGTGATAGTACTGGATAATAATAAAGAAGTTTCTTTCTTTGAAATTAAATCAAGAACTCATATGAGGCTTTCTTCATAAAGGCCAAGGTTTTGCGAATTATTAATGATAATTGATATCGTAACGCAAGGCAAAGAAAAACAAGCGTATAAAAATGTAACATAGTTGTAAATAATCCTGTACATAAATAAATGTTAAATGGTAAATTGTAAATGAAATTACACATCAATAAATATTGATCAAATTCTCTATTATGAGATCTGCTACATGGTCATAGCTTGGAAGATCAACCAAAAATACTCTACTGCGGGGTCTCATAAGTTTACAAAGTTTTTGAACTGTATCTTTCTTTTTAGCGCTTGCTATACCCCTTGGTTGATTTTGTGGGAAAGCTATGATTATAGTTATACCTAACCGGATCAATCTCTCTTCTTTCTGCCGCAGAAATGAAGCAGAACGGAAGGAAACCTCGTTGTGCTCTGATTTCCATTCCATTTGGACCGAGCCACGCTGAAACTTGATAACCTTCACCTTCTCGAGCAGTGGTATTTCTGTTTTGCAGCGGTTGCTTGTCCCATATGACCTAGGCCAAGAATGAAAGTCCGAACAGGCCATAGAAACAGCAGTATCCACCTTTTCCACTGCACCAACAAATTCCTCATAATTATGTAGCTGTCCGCACTGTTTGATGGACAGTTCCACTTTATGGTGGAATGAGTCAGCGCTCATGAACGTATGGACTGGCTCCAGATATTTCACTGTTATCGTGTCAAGCCCAAGGTCAGGGCTGTTTTTGAGCGAACATAACGCAGTGTAAAGCGTCCAGCATTTGTTCTGAGCGGAACAATTGTCTGCCCACAGAATAATTTCACGGCTTTCACCAATTCTTCCTTCAGCAAAATACCTTATAGCTTTCACCCAGGTTAAAGATACGTTCTCATCTTTCCTCCCAGCAATAGCAATTTGCTTCATTTTAGGTCAGGCAAGCTAAAAATATGCAGTCTCAACTGATTAGAGAATAAAAATTTTAAAGCAAATTTTGAAGTAAATTTTGAAAGGTTCTGCATTGACAAATTGGCAATTTTGACGGTGAAGCTAGCGTTTCTGAAGTTTCTGACCATCACCAATCGATCCGTCGTGAAATTTTAGATATGTTAGTACCGATTATATAGCTTCAGTTGAGAGAATCAACATTTAATTAAAAGTATAATGGCACATAAGCACTTTTGTGAGAAAACGAACTCGTTTTCACAAAAGTGCTTAAGTGCAATAAATTATTTTTTCCAGGCCAAAAGACCCACGATCATCAAAACAATGCCACCATTTTCAGTTTCCGAAATGGCACCATTTTTGAGATAAACGGCACCCATTTTCCAAAATGTTTATACTTAAGCACTTTTCTCAGAAAAATGACCATTTTTTGCATTTTACTTTTAGGGGGTTCCAAAAAGGGGGTTTCGGGGGTCGGCGAATGTATCCAAAGGTCCTCAGGAATAGTTCTTGACCCAAAAACAAAAGTAAGACCAAAAAACCCGAAATTTCCAAAATGTTACTTAAGCACTTTTGTCAGAAAACGGCAAATAATAATAATGTTAATAAATTTTTAATTTTGTCAGTTTGTACGAAAAGAGAGTCCAGAGACAATTAGAGTATGCAGCTATTGATGATGTGATGAATAGCAATTTTTTTACTTCATTTAATCATTCTTCGTGGGGGCCTCTGATCTAACAGACCTCTGTAGGATTTACGTTAGTTTGAAATGAATTTGTTCCGTCCTTAGTAACCACTAAAATGTCTTGAATTATTAAGACTTGGCGTAAATGGATATTTCTATATAGTTGACGACATCGAATGGAAGAGGATCGCTGAGTGACGTGGCTAATTTGGTAGTGATGGGCGTTTTTCATTAACTCAGACAGTTTCATACCTATCATTTGAACAATTTACTTTTTATCTCCACTCGAGTTCGAGTCGGTTCCTAGAGCAATATTTTGTCGTCATGAGTCTTTTCTAATGCATAATATTAATCAAGTTAGATCAAATCTAACTTTTCGACTATTTTCCTGAGTAACTCAACTCCTCAACCCCTTTATTATACCAAAACACATGTTGCGAATAAGGGGTTATTCTGTTTGTCTTCATATAATCGAGTATCCCGATTCGCAGTCTGTAAATTAATTTAGCATGTTCTCCGTCAGGGCTAGTGGAGTATTAATATAATCGCACCTGAAGCCGATATTTTCTAGTTCATTGCGAACATTTCCCGTGTAAATGGCGAATGTTCGTTAAAACCCAGACTTCTTGGATTGTTGGCTTATGATGCAGTTAGACGGAGACCTGACTGATGACTACCTAGATGCCTAGATCAGACTGAACTGATCAAACTGGCAAGTTGAAGGAATTTTAAGACATGAACTTGTAAAAATAGCTAATTCATAAGCATATTGAGATTGGATGTAGGAGGAGTAGTTGAAATGAAGGTATTTTACATATTTATACATGATTATTTAGTACTAAGAGGCTACTCTTGAACATGGTCTGGAGTTGAACATTTTCCATGCGTTATTGTATAAATGTAATCAATATCCGTTCATCTTGATGTAACACTCGGTGATTATGGGTCTGAGAGACATTTTTTTTCTTCTGTAGAATAGAATTAAAAGGAAGTTGGGGAGACGTACTGGGTGGCAGTTAATCAGGAATCCAGTTACGAAATTTACAAAAGTATGTTACCCTGCAAGGGGCTAGGGCGGCTGTTGAGGGCTCTACAGTTCACAGTCCTTCTATTCAAAACTGGAGTTAAGATCGATTCCAATAACATGTTCGCGTGTCCTAACAGTTTTGGAATATCCTTAGGATGAACAAAGTTCATCATGTAACGTATGCGCTCGTGCCATTTTCTAGCTCTACTAGTGTAATACCGACTGATTACAATGATTGCAAAAAATATAATCATGTCATCGACTACACTGATGACAAAGATTACAATGTTGACCAGTCTAGTTATAATGCGAGTATGTTAATGTGATATTGGACGAGAGATTGGACTACGCCTTTGTTAACACATTATAGCTGTACCGATTAACATTGTAGTGGGTAGTGCAAAAGGTTCCAATTGACACTCTGACCCGGGGCCAGAACAATGAGATCTAGACGATCACACTGACACAAAATTATTCAGTGTGCTCGAGCTTAGAGTCATGTGGATACTGGAATCTTAATTATAAGTATAACCGCGTTTACAGCAGCCAATTTGACCGTTTCCAATCTGAAGATGTGTGCTGCAGTTTAGTCGATTGTGGGCTCCGTGTAATTTGATCCTAAGTTTTTGACGATGATATACCCTGATACTGAGAGATCAAGTGCATGCCCAGTGGGTTGATTTGTCTGTTGTTTTTTTGCGAATACACCGTCTTAATAGCATTCGAGTTCTTTAATATTTAGAAAACCTTATATAATACTGGAAATTATGACCTTTTTTCGAAGTTGTGATAAAATACGTATAGAACTTTCATACCTCCTTGTATTTGTAATCAATATCCTACATTTTTTAATCGAAACGAACTGAATCACACTTTGACAGTTAATACTCAGGAAGAAGTGCAAGGAAGACGGAACGATGGGGTCCAACGAAAAGGGCTCATACAGTGCTCTGCGTAAGTATAAATTATAATTATTCAACTACAGATTTAATTAATAACTGTAGAATAAATAACTAGTAAGTAATGCTATATAAATATTTCGTCTCCATCGCCAGTGCGATGACATAACAGTATGTTCCTTTATGTTTTACAACCCCCACCCCCTCAAGACTCTCGCAACGACTGAAAGTTGCTGTACTGCACTTATGGTATTGAAGATGAAGCTATAGCTTCATAATACCATTTATTATTTAGTAGAGAACTGGATACTCATGCCTTATTATGAGTATATATTCTCAAGTTAAATTAGTTACCCTGTCGTTACCCGGCGGTTGTTTTGTTGTTTGTAGGGTTTTATTACGATTAAGAAGTTCTTGGCCCTTGATTTTTTTGAAAACTTAACGTTCATATCCGTACGTATTTCTAGGATTTTTATTATTTAAGTTTTACTGCTTATATCGTGCTCGAGACGCATAGCATCCTTAAAAATAATCTTGTATCTTAACATATTAAGGAAGTAAAAAACAGCGTCTGAATGACATTCCGGCCGTTATACAATCGTTTTGGCAGTTTTCTTTAGATAGAGATTCAGGAGTTTGTCATGATGGGGCGTCGATCGTGTTTTTTTGGACCGCTTAATCTAATCTCACTATTTATTTTGTTTTGTATAGAGAACCACAGAAATGTCGTTATGTAATTCGCAATTATTGAAGACTTCTAGTGTAACCCGTGCTTACGGCCGGGAGTCGGGAGTTGAAATACAAAAGTATAATCCCGCTTATTCGAAAACACGCATTGCACTGTTGTATCTAATAGTAATACTTGATAGGCAAACTTGCGGTCCACTGCCAAATTAGAGAGAGAGAGAGAGAGAGAGAGAGAGAGAGAGAGAGAGAGAGAGAGAGAGAGAGAGAGAGAGAGGGAGGGAGGGAGGGAGGGAGGGAGGGAGGGAGGGAGGGAGGGAGGGAGGGAGGGAGGGAGGGAGGGAGGGAGAGGGAGAGGGAGGGAGGGAGGGAGGGAGGGAGGGAGGGAGGGAGGGAGGGAGGGAGGGAGGGAGGGAGGGAGGGAGGGAGGGAGGGAGGGAGGGAGGGAGGGAGGGAGGGAGGGAGGGAGGGAGGGAGGGAGGGAGGGAGGGAGGGAGGGAGGGAGGGAGGGAGGGAGGGAGGGAGGGAGGGAGGGAGGGAGAGAGAGAGAGAGAGAGAGAGAGAGAGAGAGAGAGAGAGAGAGAGAGAGAGAGAGAGAGAGAGGAGAGAGAGAGAGAGAGAGAGAGAGAGAGAGAGAGAGAGAGAGAGAGAGAGAGAGAGAGAGAGAGCGAGCGAGGGAGGGAGGGAGGGGGGAGGGAGGGAGGGAGGGAGAGAGAGAGAGAGAGAGAGAGAGAGAGAGAGAGAGAGAGAGAGAGAGAGAGCGAGCGAGGGAGGGAGGGAGGGGGGAGGGAGGGAGGGAGGGAGAGAGAGAGAGAGAGAGAGAGAGAGAGAGAGAGAGAGAGAGGAGAGAGAGAGAGAGAGAGAGAGAGAGAGAGAGAGAGAGAGAGAGAGAGAGAGAGAGAGAGAGAGAGAGAGAGAGAGAGAGAGAGAGAGAGAGAGAGAGAGAGAGAGAGAGAGAGAGAGAGAGAGAGAGAGGGAGGGAGGGAGGGAGGGAGGGAGGGAGGGAGGGAGGGAGTACGTGAGGCACTCTAGTAGAGTACGTGACAGGGGCTACATCACGTCTTCAACCCAGGGGGGGCAAGGGGGCGAAGCCCCCTGCGGGGTCCAGAGGCGGAGCCCCTGGTGGGGGGGTAGGGGGGCGAAGCCCCCCCAATAGCAGGGGTCTGGGGGCGCAGCCCCCAGTGGGGTCAAGGGGCGGAGCCCCTTGTCGGGGGGGGGGGGGGGGGGGGGATAGGGAGGCGAAGCCCCTTGGAAAATTTTTAAGGAAATTAGACAATTTTGACGCATTTTCCAGTACTTGAGGGACACGAATTTACGTTAGCAGCAACTAAAAGAAAAACCAATTAATGTAAGTAGTCCGAATTTATTGACAGTTCACAGTACATACTTCACAATCTCTTTTAACTACACATTAGTACTACACTTTACTATACATACATTTTACCTACAATTGTAATAGATTAAGAAGAACTACCCAAAGGCAGCTGTACTCGGCAATGAAGATTCAATAAACTTCCGCTTGTTCAATAAGTAATAACTACCACCCTTGTCCCTTACCCCGAAATACTAGGTATCGACCCGAACGCAACCCAAAGAGATTTTTACAGCATCTGATTGATGTAATCAATCGAAACTTAATTATACAATTCGTAAGCCGTGAATGAATGGGAAAAGCGAGCGACCGATTTCATTCTCGGTATCATTTTGCATTTGAGAACGGTCAATCAAATTAATATCATTTCCTTTTGTTTGGGAAAGAGAGACACTGACAGCGGTCCACTCTACCCATGATTATGGGTTTTGGTAAAATATCATCTCTTTTTGATTATAATGTCAGGGTACTTTATAAAGTCAAAATATAAACTGATATCTTCATTAATAAGGAGGAAGTTTCAACGATTTCGAAATTTTTCCTTTAAAAACATTTCCTTGTGTTTAGGGAAGCATATCGGTCGATCACTGACTGAATATGCCACTTAATACTCATTCAAGTTGGCATTAAATTCATATATAATGACATTAAACTGTCGTGGCAAAGCAGAATTTGTTGGAAATCACGAATGAGCAAAATTCTCACCTTTCGCACGTGCAAACTTTGAGCGGACGTTGCGTGCGCATCCAATATTGAATCGCCGTAAATTTTTGCATGTAATTGTTTTATATATAGCTTGATAAGCATGCAAAGTTTCAAAGTATTTCAAGAAGAACTGTAATCACAACGGCACTCTAAAGTTGACAGAAAATGACGAAAACAGCAATTTTCAGTGATTTTAGCGATTTTGTATCAATTTGGGCGTGTCCCCACGTGTGCAACTTTTCGATTTTCAACTTTAAAACTAGCCTAATACACAATTTATACCTATAGGAAGCAGAACTGAGCTTCACAACCCAAGGCATGGCCCAACACCAGAGAATACTAAATCGCAAAATTGACGTTTTTATAAAATAATTTTTCAAAAAAGCACAAACTTCAATGACGAATATCTTTATGAAGGAGCAAGCTAGAAAAACTTTCCGGTAGATTTTCAGAATGCTTGAATAATTATCTAAGATGAAAATTTCCTCAGACTTTGAATAAAATTACTTTTAATTAATTTTAAAAGTTAATACTTTGTCAAAAATCAAGTTTTAAAAACGGTTAACTTGATGACGTCATCAAGGGGTGTTTATGACGTCAAATAATTTTTTTACACAATGTAAACTAAAGTATAAACAATTATTTGCAAGACCTGTGGTCGGAAATGGCTGTATCTTTTATACTTTTGAATCTATGGACACTTAAATACAGGCTACAAATGACTGGCAAAGCGTCTATCCCTGAATATATATATATATATATATGTATGTATATATCACGAGTCACGACAATCTATCGTAAAACAGGGGTTCTAGAAAACCCATTTCCCGATGCTCCTGAAACCTGAAACTTTTTTTGCAGTCGATTTGGTCAACGTCTAGACGCCCTGAAAAATTTCAGATCTCTAACTCAATTTTAACATGGTTTTTAAGGCACCTGAATATGGCGATTTTGGGTTTTTTACCGAATTTCGTATAACAGTGCTGGCGAGTATTTTATGCAAATTTCTTAAAAATCTCAACATAACTATTTTTTATTCCTGTCATCTTTGACATCAAATTAGAATGTTTTGAACTAAAAATAAATCTGCTGAACGACTTCCGATGAGTCTTAATGCCTGAAAAACTCCTGCCGGAGGCGGCGGCCTTCGGCCGCCGCCTCCGGCCGGAGTGCACGCTTCGCGTGCACGAAAGAGGCTTCCGACGAGTACCAAAGGGGTTATAATAGTAAAGGGGGTATAATAGTAAAGGGGGTACAATAGTAAAGGGGGTACATAGTATACCCCCAATAAAGACACCGCTCGTGCTTGCCAGCACTGTGATTTTCATGTTTTTGTAAACTTGTCCCCCAAATCCCAGGGGGAGAGAGAGAGAGAGAGGGAGGGAGGGAGGGAGAGAGAGAGAGAGAGAGAGAGAGAGAGAGAGAGAGAGAGAGAGAGAGAGAGAGAGAGAGAGAGAGAGAGAGAGAGAGAGAGAGAGAGAGAGAGAGAGAGAGAGATAGAGAGAGAGAGAGAGAGAGAGAGAGAGAGAGAGAGAGAGAGAGAGAGAGAGAGAGCGAGCGAGGGAGGTAGAGAGAGAGAGAGAGAGAGAGAGAGAGAGAGAGAGAGAGAGAGAGAGAGAGAGAGAGAGAGAGAGAGAGAGAGAGAGAGAGAGAGAGAGAGAGAGAGAGAGAGAGAGAGAGAGAGAGAGCGAGGGAGGGAGGGAGGGGGGAGGGAGGGAGGGAGGGAGGGAGAGAGAGAGAGAGAGAGAGAGAGAGAGAGAGAGAGAGAGAGAGAGAGAGAGAGAGAGGAGAGAGAGAGAGAGAGAGAGAGAGAGAGAGAGAGAGAGAGAGAGAGAGAGAGAGAGAGAGAGAGAGAGAGGGAGAGAGAGAGCGAGGGAGGGAGGGAGGGAGGGGGGAGGGAGGGAGGGAGGGAGAGAGAGAGAGAGAGAGAGAGAGAGAGAGAGAGAGAGAGAGAGAGAGAGAGAGAGAGAGAGAGAGAGAGAGAGAGGAGAGAGAGAGAGAGAGAGAGAGAGAGAGAGAGAGAGAGAGAGAGGAGAGAGAGAGAGAGAGAGAGAGAGAGAGAGGGAGGGAGGGAGGGAGGGAGGGAGGGAGGGAGGGAGGGAGGGAGGGAGGGAGGGAGGGAGGGAGGGAGGGAGGGAGGGAGGGAGGGAGGGAGAGAGAGAGAGAGAGAGAGAGAGAGAGAGAGAGAGAGAGAGAGAGAGAGAGAGAGAGAGAGAGAGAGAGTACGTGAGGCACTCTAGTAGAGTACGTGACAGGGGCTACATCACGTCTTCAACCCAGGGGGGGCAAGGGGG